ATGTTTCACTAAATCAAAAGTCACTTTAAATAATTACAATGGTACTACAATTGATGTAGTTGGAAAATGTAAATTATTATGTGAAACATCAAAAGGGAACAAGGATGAAATAGAATTTCAAGTCGTAGCATGTGATAAAAATGTTCCAAGCTATTTTAGGGTTACCTACATTGCAAAAATTAAACCTAATACAAAGGATTTGTACAGTAAATCCTGATTCTAATGAAAAGTTACCAGAACTTTTAAAAGGATATCAAGATTTGTTTAAAGGAACTGGGAAATTTAACTGGATATACATATCATATTAAATTAAAACCAGGAGCTGTTGGTAAAATAGAACCCTGTAGGAAAATTCCACTTAGCTTATTAAATCCATTAAAAAAGGAATTAGCAAGAATGGAAAAAGATGGTATTATAAAGAAAGTTAACCAACCAACAGAATTCGTGAATTCATTAGTGGTAGTAAGGAAAAAGGATGGAAATTTAAGAGTGTGTTTAGATCCTCAGCACCTTAATCAAAATATACTCAGAGAACATTATCACATACCAACCTTTGAAGAAATTTCATCTCAAATGACAAATGCAAAGGTCTTTAGTATTTTAGATGCAAACAAAGCATTTTGGCAAATTAAACTGTCAGATTCAAGTTGTGAATTTACTACATTTAACACTCCGTTTGGTAGATATTGTTTTTTAAGGTTGCCATATGGACTGAGTTCATCACCAGAAGTTTTCCACAGAAGTTTTTTCTGAAATTTTTTAGTGATTTAGAAGGAGTTCAAATATATATAGATGACTTATTAGTTTGGGGTAAAGATAAAAAAGAACATGATTCAAGATTAAAGAAGTTGTTGGACAGAGCCAGAGAAAAGAATGTTAAATTTAATTTAAATAAATGTAAATTTGGGCTGAATGAAGTGAAATATATGGGACATATATTTTCTAAAGATGGTTTTTAAAACCAGATGAAGACAAAATTAAGGCTATTCTAGATATAAAACCACCAAAAAATGTGAAAGAATTAGAAACTTTCCTAGGAATGATTACATATGTTTCTAGATTTATACCTAATGTATCAGAATTGACATCATGTTTAAGAGATTTGTTGAAAAAACAAGTTATCTGGAACTGGAATGCAACACATGAAAAAGCATTTAGAAGACTAAAAGATGTCTTGGTAAATAAACCAGTTTACAGTATTATAATATAAACATGCCAGTAGTTTTATCTGTAGATGCATCTCAAGAAGGACTAGGAGCAGTCTTACTGCAGAATAATTTACCAGTGGCATATGCATCTAAGGCATTAACAGATACACAGAAGAATTATGCTCAAATTGAAAAGGAAACTTTAGCTATTGTATTTGCGTGTGAGAAAATTTCACCAGTATATATTTGGAAAAAATATTACTGTGGAAAGTGATCATAAACCACTGGAATCAATTTTTTAAAAAGCCATTAAATAAATGCCCTGTAAGACTACAAAGAATGCGTATAAGATTACAGCCATATCAGTTTGAGATAAAATATAAACCAGGAAAAGAACTTTTTTATAGCGGGATGCATTATCAAGATCATTCACTGATAAAGGATCTGATTTCTTTGAAGGAGAAATAGAAGCTCATGTTGGATTAGTTGTTAGAATGTATACCAATGTCTAATGGTAAAATGGAAGTTTTTCAACTGGAAACAGAAAAAGATGAAGAACTACAAGTTTTAAGAAAATTAATTAAAACTGGATGGCCAGATGAAAAATGTATGGTTCCAGAACTGGCAAAACCATATTTTAACTTCAGAGAAGAACTATCAGAAGCAAATGGATTAATATTTAAAAATTCCTGTGTTGTTGTACCAAGAAGTTTACGAAAAGATATGTTAAGCAGAATTCATTATGGTCATTTAGGAGTAGTAAAATGCAAGATCAAAGCAAAGAGAAATATTATATTGGCCAGGAATGTCCAAAGAAATTGAAGATTTGGTACTGAATTGTCAGACATGTTTTAAGTTTACAAAATGCTAATACTAAAGAACCAATGATATCTAAAGAAATACCTAATGGTCCATGGGAAGTATTGGGAACAGACCTCTTTTACTTTCAAGGAAGGGATTATCTAATAGTTATAGATTATTTTAGCAAATATGTTGAAATTGGACATTTGGAAGATTTGTCAAGTGTAGCAGTGATAAAGCAATTGAAATCAATTTTTGCAAGACATGGTATTCCGAAAATAGTATATTCGGATAATGGTCCACAATATAATTGCAGGAAATATAAAGATTTTGCAAGAAGATGGAATTTTGAAACCAGAACTTCAAGTCCAAAATACCCACAGTCTAATGGAATGGTTGAAAGACATATTCAAACTGTCAAGCGAATGTTAGAAAAAGCTGTAGTTGACAACAAGGATCCATATTTAGTTTTACTGGAATATCGTAACTCTCCTATTTCAGATGAAATTAAGTCACCTTCAGAATTGATGTTTGGAAGAAAAGTAAATGGATTGATGCCTATAAAGAGAATTTTGTCCAAGCTAAACGATATGAAGACCATAAACAACATTTACTGAAGAGACAAATCTTACAAAAAAGTTATTATGATAGGAATGCAAGACCATTAAAACGACTGAAAACAGGAGATCATGTTTACATAAAAGAGAAAGGGAAAAAACTAAATGAAAGAGGGAAAATTATAGAAGAAGCAGAAAGACCACGTTCATATAGGATTATAAGAACAGATGGAAGAATTGTAGAAAGGAACAGAAGAGACCTTCTTAAAGGAACTAATCAGGAAGAGTTTGCAATACAAAACAACTATGAGAATGAAGTTATAGATGAGCCCGAGATACATGAAAATAGTAGAAGCACTTCAAATTTAGATGTGCCTGTAAGTCCTTCAAAATCTAACAGAAGTGTTGTGTCACCAAATAGCAAAAGAAGCATAGTATCATCAAATTTTTCAAATGGACATAACTACGTCACTCGATCTGGTAGGACTGTTAAGAAACCTTATTATTTAAAAGAATATGTTTAATTTTACTACTATTATTATTTTTTATAAAAAAGGGAGATGTTATATATGTAACTGTAACTGTATCTATTATTATCTTAATTATAACTGTAATATAGAATAGTTGATGAGTAATGTAGAATAAACGATGTTTGTGTACAACTTGTAATCATAACTGAGCAGTACCCAACACATATAAAATACAACACAACTCCTGCGTTTTGTTAAATTTCTTGTGGTTAGAATAAATTTTATTAAATTTTTATCGGACTTATGCATTCAATCTCTTGTGAACTCGTACGCACGCGACAATATGATAAGAAGGTTCTCAATATACTGCATAATGTCGTCAGGTCTCTTACCAATAAACGAGCACAATTCAGCTGGACGAACTATATTAATTCTCTTAACTGAGGAGGAAAGTTCTCTCTGGCGAGCTACTGCGGCGCCTTGGGAAAAGCTACGTAAATATACCGCGCTTAACGACCCTACCAGGATCCACCACACAGAAATTGAGAAAGCAGAAATTTTAGCTTTTAGAACAGGAAGAGAAAGTAGAACTTTTAGCTTTTTTCAAAAAGCATCTAAAATCTCAGTTTTACACAAAACGTATTCTACATAACCAAACACAATATAATGTATTGAATACGCAATGCCAATTAACAAGACGTTCACACAAAAACAGCATAAGTTTAATACGCCCTTCTGAAGTCTACGGCTTTATTAGGAAAATACATACGAAGAGCCCTGATCTCGATAAAGTTACCAATAAAAAGGTAATTTTACCAAGAGCAGGGCTTTATTTAACGAAAATCACACTACTCACTTGGAATTAATTACTCACTTGGAATTAATTACTCACTTGGAATTAATTACTCACTTGGAATTCACAGATGACATTGCAAGCATCGTTAAATTCTATATAAACGTTAGAAATTTTGCCGTTCGCAATTTCAAACACATATTCCTCCCGTTGTGCTATTCTAACTGTCGTACCACAAAGCTCCCAATGGGGACCTACGTTGTTCAACTTATATATAAACGGCATAACACAAACAACTAAAACCATTCTAGAGGAATATGCTGATAATATTGCGATCATCTCACAAAATGCTTTTCATCGTTCAGCATTACATGCATTTCCATGCATTGCAGACCTGATTTGTGAGCTGGAAGATATATAGTAATATGTACAAATCCACAGCAATTGTCTTCAACAACAAGAAGAAAACCACTGACAATCTTAGCATGTATGAAACGACATTGCCCTAAGCTAGGAGAATCACTTACCTCAGAGTGATCCTCTACCATAAACTTTCATGGTCCCCACGCATATGCTGCATTATCCAAAACACTCTTAAGTGGTATGCATCCTAGTTTGAGCATACTCTATCAACCAAACATAAACTGTTACAAATGACTAAGAATCGCAACCTGAGACAATTATCTCGCTGCCCATGGTATGCCAAAGCTTATAAAATTCACAAGAAGCTAGGTATTACACAAAAACTCTTCTACTATCATTTTACGATTAATTTTCAATTAAGCCCCAGGAAAAGTATCAGTAGCATTATCCGGATATAAAATGTCAAGAGACCTAGCCTAATCTAAAATAAGTTGATGTTATGGTTTGAGTTTTAGTTTTCTATATCAATACATATATTACCTTCATAGAGGCTTTTATGAAGAAAATTACCTTTATAAGTAATGAAGAACATGAAATTAAGCCATTCCGTATATTGCAAAAGTTTCAAAACGCAACAACTCAGAATGAAATGCTTTTCTGGCCCCTTCTTTGCCTCTTTATTTAATCATGCCCTTATGTTGGAGTTATGTCAATAATTATACGATAGTAAATTTCATTATTTTAAAAAGTTATGCTTCATTAATTTTAACTGCTGATTATTGATACTCTTGTAAAGAAAAGTATTGTTTTTTACCTCGAAAATCATCATCATCATCATCATCAATTGACAAGAAATGCTTTTACTTCCGGTCATATAGGTAAGAATGAGAAGAAGACTTTTGAATTGGATTTGTTGAGTATTGTTTACTGCATATAATTCGCAAATGCATATTTAAAAAGGACCCGATTGTTGAATCTTTGTTATGGTGAACTTTCTGGACTTAAAGTTCTTTTGCAGGAATCATAATGTATAATGTACATCTTTGGAACTAGTGCACATACTATTAGTACCTGTTAAGATGTTCACTGTTGCGTTTGTGTTTATAAGCTTGTTTTGCAAGTTGTCTGTTTTATCAGGTAAGCTAAGATTTTAACTTTTAATTTTAAGTGATATGGTCTATGTAATCCTAAGTAAGTAATCAGCATCCTTTTTTCCTGTTTGTTTATAATGTAAATCGGTAGCGTGGGTGTATGTGACATAAAACTATCAAATGCTGTTTCTTTCCTGTGCATTTATTAGTATATCGTTTAACTTCATATTTTGGTGCAGATTGTGTGTGTAAAATTCCTGAATTATAGTGGTATTGGTATGTATCTTAAGAGTGAAAAATTAAAAAAATGCCGATGTTTTGCAATAAAACTTTTATTTTAAAGGTACAGTAAGACCCCGCTTAACGCGGGGGATACGTTCCATCAAAGTAGAGCTAAATGCGAAACAGCGCTAAACGAGGCTATCTTAACATGTAAATAATTGGTTTAGGGAAAGATGGGTAAAAAATTGGTTAGGTATTAAATTTAATATTTTTTTTTAAAATAAGAATAAAACCAAACATTTATTTCATGTGCAACCAAACACAGCAATTCAAGACTTTAGTGTAGAATTGGGTGCCCCTTCGATTGGCGACATTTTTTTTTTTTTTTACTTTTGGCGATGAAACCTCACTTCTCGTTACAACGATAGTTTTAATTTTGTTTTAGCTTCACCATTTTATTTAAATGAAAATATATTGATGTGTACATGGACATATTTAAGGCAGTGCGTAGTGCCTAGTTTGTGCAATTCTAGGATGTTTTTGAAATAAAAACAGATCAATGTGTACATGGACACAGATCTTATGCAATTCTTCGACTTCTTATTTTGATTTTGTGTAGCGGCCATCTTGAAATTATGACTTCCTGGCGCCGATCTTGGCGTCAAAAAAGAATCGTCAATAAACAAGGGGCACCCAGTTGTAAACTTTTACCCAGTTCAAAATCTCCAGTCCATACGAAAGGGTTACTATTACAAAAAATAGCCAACAACACATTTGGCAATATTCACTATTTTCCGCAAGCCTAGTTTCGCCAACGTTATCATTAGGGTTACCAAAAAAACCTACTTTATGCAGCAGGCTTCCAGATTTCACAAACAATCAATACCACTTGACAATTTTTTCAGACGGAAACCAAACGGAACTGTACAGTAAATTTTAACCAAATTGCGTATGAATCAGCGCAATCTTCAATTTTACTGAAATTGGATCCTATTCACCATCAGGTCTTGCAGATATGTTCTGGTGTTTTCAGGACATCTATTCAATGCCTGTATGTTGGCTGTTATGAACCAACACTCCAGTTGAGGAATAAGCAGTTGTCTCTTTGATTGTATTTTATTATATTGTCACAGACTGACTATCTGTGTAAGGTGCTTTTCATTGATCATATATGTTATCTTCTATTTGAGCCACAATCATCTTGTGGACTTTCCTTCTCATTAAGGGTTTTCCCATTGATTGAAAAAGCATGACTGAGATGTTTACCCCAGGATAAAAGGTAATGAGGTGGCTGACATCAGAGCGCTGTTGAAATGTCTGTTCAACTCTTTCTTACAGATATATCAACATTCCTATCAATGGCAGCGAATCTTAAGACAATCAGCTCCATAACAAACGAAGAAACATTAAACCTAAAGTAGACTATTGGGAGGTCCGGGGGAACCAGAGAAAGGAAGTCCTTTTAAATCATCTCAGAATTGGCCACTTTGGAGTTACATAGAAAGTAATTGGAATATTTAAGAATTTAAAAATAATTTTTAACCCCAAAATTTGATAAATAAGAAATTTGTAATGCTATTATATAGCTCTTAATACAATTAACACATACACATTGTCGCCAAATAGTGTGATTTAGTTCCAATGGAGAAACATGATATCCCATTGCAATCGTAAGCTCATTTTGGTTTAAATGCAAACTCAATTTATTCTCAATAAGCCAGTTTAATTTTTGTAAAGGAGGATAAAAATTCTGTTTATTTCCTGACATTTTGAAAACATGATTAATATTTGGGACTGCATGAAGTGAAGAATATTCAGAGTTAAAGTTTTTACAGTGGAAGATGCTTCTAATCTGTGAACACTAGCAAAACGTGTGCCGGATTTAACACATTTGCAGTTTCTTTTATTTCATTCTTATCCATGAAGTGTTTCCTTCCCTGAGGTAGACAACCATTATTTGCTTTGCCATAATCCAGTAATCCTTCTTTACATTCAGCAACTGTTCTTAATGTAGTTTTAAAAATCGGACATGTCTAGACAAAACATAATTATCTGCCATAGAAAAATATGAAAGAAACTAAGATTCATTATAGATTTTTTTGTCTCTTTCTTGTTAAAGGGGCTGTGGTACTTAAGTAACAAAAATTTAAGTTCCTGCTTGAAATTATCAGTCTATAACATGATAATTTCTGATGCCACCAAAGACTTGTGTGGTTGCCTCTTTAATAAAAAAATAAATAAATAAATAAAAATAAAAATAAAAATTCATACTTTTAAATCCTAACTATTTTTGTTTTATAAAAAACTAACATATTCTTGTTTAACATAAACATATTTAACTATATAACACAAATAGTTAATCTGTTTTTTTAGGTGCACCAGTGACTGAGTGGATATTCTTCATAAATTCTTCCCTATGATTTGAATAAGCTTGCTTACAAAAATTTCATTCGAATTGATTGGTAGAATAGTATCTGCATGCCCTTTAAGGTCTGATAATTTAAATATAACCACCGTGTATTACATTGCAAGTCCTCATGTTTGCTTGAAGATTGTTTTTCTTTTAATTGAGATCCTGCATAAAAGCTATATAATCTATAAGTAGAAGCAATTATTTTAAAAATGGGTATTTTTTTCATGCAATTAATATTTGTGCTATCATGCTATTTCTGTTTTAGAATCAACACCAAAGAGCACAGCCGATGAAGTTCTGGAGAGTATTATCAGAGAATCCCATTTAGGCAAAGATTTGAAAATTTTTCACTTTGCAAGTAATTATTATCCTGAAATATTAAATCATGAACAAAAAGAGCAGCCTGTTTCATCTCTGGTTACTGACAAGTTAATTCCTGATCATAACAAAGTTATATTTGTAAGTATTATTCATGTAGTATTTTAAATGAGAAAGGAAACCTTCCACTTTGTGATTGCTATTGCAGATCTTTTATCGTTTCTCATGTTATGTCATTAATCTTCTAAATCTTATCACAGTTATTGATAATCTTGCTAGGTACTATATGCAACTGTTATGAAATACTGTAAGCTATATTGTCTTATAAAATAATAACATTAACTTGATAGAAAATGACAGAGGGCCATAAAGAATTTCTTCTCCATGTTCACTATTACTTTTGGTTCACTTTGAGTTGTATGGTATCCCCTTGCCATCATAATCTTTGTATTTAGTGTTGGGCGGTTATGAAAGCCTAAGAATGAGATTACTGAAGCAACAGTTGGTATCTATTAAAGTAGGGATCCATTATTTTCAGAAAACCCAATTTAAATTTTCACATTCTTACATATGATTATGTAGTGAGGAATATATGGTAAATAAAATGAAATATAAAGCTAGCAGCTGCTTTTGGGTTATAATGAACCATCTTTGAAATGTAGTAGGTACTTGTGAAAAAGATAAGTATTGCAGGAAACATTAACAAGCATCAGTATCAGCTTTCTAAGATGATCACTTCCAGTATACACCTGAATGATCTAAAGCTATTGGTAGTCATCTTAAAAGAATTTATTGTAATTTTAAAATTTGTTATATTTTTCATCTTCACGTTTTGAAAACATTATGAGTATTTTCTGCTATTGTCAAAATAAGCTCTTGCAATAATTTTTCTTGTGCTTGGAGTGAACGTATATATTTTTGTGAAGTTAACACTTTTACTTGACATTTTGCCTTTATTGCTTTATTTTAGAATTTAAATTAATTAATTTATGCATGCTTTTCTCTCAATATAAAATGAAATTTCATTTAACAATAAATTTAAATCCAGTTTCATAGCATTTGCCATAAGTTCTATATTTATCATCTGTTTATTGAGTTTATATTTCTGTGTTAAAAATAAAGTAAATAAATGTGACTATTTATCTTCAAAATTATAGAATGTTGCATGAGAAAAAAATTAACATTTTATATGGTATCAAATGACTAAGTTGTTGTAACTGAGGAGAACCATCAACTAGAGGTCATTGTTTTGCATGTCAAGGTTTTATGGCAAAAATATAGTTTAGGGTACCCCTTGGCGAAACGTGGCGGTACATGGATACCGATTTTGTGCAATTCTTTGACTCATTATTTTGGCTTGCGAAGCGGCGATTTTTGCGCCAAAAATCACCGCTACACAAAGCCAAAATAACAAGACAAACAATTGCACAAACTCGGTATCCATGTACACATCGACTTATTTTCACTTAAAAAAAATTCCTGAATTGCACAAAAATGGCATCGTACACTCCTTTGACTTTATCCATGTACATGTCGACCTAGTTTCACTTAAAAAAGAAATCCCCAAATTGCACAAAAGTGGCATTACGCACTCTTTTAACTTTATCCATGTACACGTCGACCTATTTTCACTTAAAAAAAGTCCCAGAATTGCACAAACTTGCATTGCGCACTCCCTTTACTTTGTCCATGTACAAAAAAGTCAAAGGAGCACCAAATTCTACAATATAGGCAAACAAAAAATGCATAATCTCAATAAAATACATTTTAAACCAAACAATAAAGTAACATAAAAAAGGAAAAACATTTAAGCACTATCAAAAGTAAATATTCACTTACCATGATTTTCGAGTTCGCTTCATACACCCAGAGCCACGTAAAAATAAAAATATCAATCATACTCAAATGACTTTTTTCAAACCAGGTACTCTTTCTGATCGAACGCTTCACATAGTGACCATCTGAACCTTTCTTCCTACAAACCCATTCAAATCCATCTAAACGGTTTTTACGTACTTCTTACATACAGGACACTTATAATGGCTACTAAGTAAACCTTCATTTACACACCAGTCAATTAAAGCTCTTTTCCCCTTTCGCTCCAAATCAGACAGAAACTTCAAATTAATCTTACTACATTCGGCCATTCTACCATCTAAAGAATCAAACCAACACACACCACAAAAACGTTTACAAAACACCCCATGATTCAAAATTTCCCAGAATCATGCACCCAATTACGTCACAATAGGGTTTCCATAACATTCAACTACTCAGGCTACCATAAATGAAACAACAACTTGGCGATAAATCAAACAACAATTTTGCCACAATACCTTAAGGTCTGCTCTACCTGGTTTTATAATTTGTGTCACTTATCACAAGATCTTTGAGCCTTGCATTTGAAAGTTTGATCAGTACCAAAAGTATAAGTGTACCATTCCCAAACATGCTGTTAAAGTTGTTAGGTACTTTATGTGCATGCCATGTAGAGAGAAAGAAATAAAACAGCTTGAACTTTTCAAAACTTTTTGTATTTTCTTTTATTGTGATCAGCTGCTTAATATAATCAGCTAGAATTAGATCAAACAAAATCATGGTGATTGATCTATGTATTTAATTACTTTGCCATGATAAGTCATTCTTAGACTTTGTGTATGCAGTCTTTTTTTTTTTTTTTTTTTTTTTTTTTTAATATCTGTTTATGAAATTTTTAAACTGAATAAAAAAAATTCAGAGCAGGGATAGAAATTTTCTTCTATCTCATGATATAGGATAAAAGATGTTTTTAAGATGACTTCTGGATTTTCTTCCTACTTTTGGCTATTTATGGAAATTTAAAGAACTGAAGATAGATTATTTTTTAGTAAATTTGCCCATTCCTTGTAGATTCATAATATTAGTATAAAATACCTTCATTCCATATTGTGTTCAAATTTATCAATTTGCTTGACAGGAATATGGCTTAAGATTAAAATCTGTAAAGTTATATTTTTTTTGCTACTGTTGTTTAAAGTATTATGAAATATAAACATAAAATATCTTCATTATTGAGAATTTATAGATTATCAATCTACTTTCTCCTTAGAATTTTATTATGCACTTAATATTTTAAAACAAAATTAATTCTAAACATAAAGAGTGATGCCAATCGCATCAAGAAAATTATTTCGTTACACTTGCTGCCAGATTTGCTTTGTGGCCACCTAATGATGGTGAAATTATGTGACAATTCTCCCACCTTTTAATTAATAATATACTATTAGTAATCAAAACATGCAATAAAGTTCACAGTTCAAAATAATAATTCAGTTTAAGGGTTCGTTCCAGAAATCTAAAAGGTAACTTAATTAATAATCCTTCTGGTTTTTGTCACAGAAGTTTTATTTTTATTTATTTATTTATTGGTTCATTGGCCATCAGGAAAAGATTGATCAGGCAAAGAAAGTTTCCTTTCTTCTTTTGAATCCTCTTCAACTTATGAAGATATCTCCAGGAGCAAATTTTTCAGAATGGGTCGTATCATCTCTCCATAAACTGTTCAGCATCTTTCCACCAGAGAAACCTTAAAAGATGTTTGTTATCTCGATCCACGAAAATTTGTAAAAACACTTTTCTTATATCTGAAATAATGCCTATCCTCTTCTTCCTAAATTTAAGCCATACTCCTGGAAGCAACTGTAGAATATTTGGCCCTTTTGTTAAGCAGTCATTTAGGGAGGAAAATGTTTTCCTTTTAGGAGATGTGTCAAATACTGGCCTAATCAGTGTAGAAGAATTTTCGGTACTTACGTATTAATGCCACCGCACTTAACGTATTAACGCTAACGCAGCAGAAGTTGCGCTGATGAATAAGGAGCAATCCTGTTGTTTGCACCAATAAAGAGCAATTCTGTTGTTCGCACTCAGTTATCTTTTGCAGTCCAGGATATAGCCAGGGTAATTGCCCCGGGTGGCAACTTTTGAGGAAGGCAAATTCAAATATAACGCTGGATTGTTTTGGTATGTTGTTCGCTAAAACAGCTCTCTAATTTTAGAACAATGTTAATAGTTTTAGGGTCAAGTTTAAAAACCTCTTTTAAGAAGATTTGTAATTAAATACTAAGAACCCTCTTAAAGGAACATGAGTTAAAATAAAGTACAGCCGATTACAACTATAAATACAAGATCAGAAAGAGGCCAATAGAGGGACTCCAGGCATCACTGATAGAATCAGACTGACCCTATCAGTAACATCTGGAGTCCCTATATCATTTTCTGTCTAGGCCGGGCGTATTCAAATAATAAATAGAACGATAGATAGAAGAAGTCACCTGGTTCCCATAGCAACATGTGCTGGGAAATGGAGAAGCATTGTAACTATTTTTTAAGAGCTAACCCCCAAAATTAACTTTGGGCCATCCTGGACAAATGAAATAATTCAAATTAATATTCATTGAGTATATACAAGACACAGATATTATGTCTTCAAGCTGAAGCAAGGCATTTAGACTTTTTTGCAGCCAGTTGACAACTTAGGCTCACCTTTGGTTTGATTCGGAATGGTGGAGCGCATGTTGGATTTTAAAGCTATATTTATTATTTCTATGGTGGTTTTTTTATTTATTATATATATATATATATAAAGATTTCAGGTCTCTTCTGCACTGTTTTTTTTTTTTTTTTTAAAGATATGCTTGCTTTTAATAGCCCACACTATATTTAGCGACACATGACCATTTATTTAGGCCTATTCAGTGTAATTATGTCAATTCTTAGTTATTCTTACTAACGCAATTCAGTCATTTAGGGAGGAAATGTGAATAGTGAATTTCATTTAGATTAAAAGGTAACCATCTGTGCATCGAGGGGAGAAAAGTGGAATACAGAAAACGAGCCAAAGATAAGGCCAAACAGAGAAAACAAATTTCAGCTAAGATGAAAAAATAACTTCACAGAAGAAGTAAACTGTCAGATCCTGCTGCAATTCCGATTGTGCTGAGATTCTAGAGGGAATTAATATTTCTTGCAATTTGCACGACCTAACATGACTGCATATATCATCCTCAAACAATCAACAAGTCAGCATTTGAAAGAATAAACTTCTTCATCGACATCAAACGAATAGCTGAAACGAATAGACAAATTGGACTTGAAATCATGATATAAAGATCTCTTCATTTAGATGGGAGCAGGCAGCAGAAAGACGAAAAACTAAAAATTTTTGATTTGTTGGACGCATGCAGTTGGCTGGTCATAAAAAAAAATGAACAGTCACAAATAGTCGTTCTTAAGCAGTCAATCAGTATTATTTACGAAAAACTAAAAATTTTTGATTTGTTGAACGCATGCAGTTGGCTGGTATATTATATATATATATATATATATATATATTAAAAAAAAAAAAAAAAGAAAAGAAAAAAAAAGAACGGTCACCAACAATCTTTCTTAAGCAGTCAATCAGTATTATTAGCCGGTAAACATCCGGGAAAATGTAAACCTCAATCCCATTGAACGTCATAACAGACATTTGACATGTTATACAGAACATTAGTAAATAATAAAAAGCTTAGATATTGATTTACATATTCTAAAAACAAGAATGCAATTTTTTGTACACCCTGCAAGATTTATCAGAAGCATGATGCTGCCGTTACACCATACAACAGGATTCATTGATTGGAAAAGTTTTAGCAAGATTAACTGAGTGTGAAGCGTCTGCAATCCATAGAGGTGCATGATTAAGTGGAAAATTCGAGTATAACAAATGAAATCATGCCAAGGCATCGATCATGACACTGAGCGACTCATTTATACAGAGAAAGAAAAATGAAGAAAAATTCTATATACTCATGGATGCGGTACTATATCTTTCAACAATCTGTGGTTCTTTTCTTGGGTCTGATGAAATCCCAAGTAGCCTGTTTACAAAGTGTCCTTGACCTAGCGAAAGAAATTTTCTGAATTTATTCTCTCCGCTTGCCAAGCATAATTCAACTTACCAAACAGAATTCATCAAGTACCAGTCAAGCACCAAACAAAAGTAAAGGTATCATATTTAATCAAAGATAATTCAAAATGAAGTTAAACTTAAAGGAAAAAATCTAAAGTAGCATTTTAAACGACATTAAAGAAGCCAAATACTACCATATGTGTACACTCATACAGTATCATAAAAAAATGAACCAGGTGATTCAATACATAAAAACGTATGGTGATGTGTGTGAGATAAAGGAAAATTTAATTGATTTCATAGAAGTTGGTGGAAAAGATAGGAGAATGTATTTCTGAACGCATTGTAGAAAACTTAGTGACTTATTAATTGACACTTGATGGTTTAGATATTGGACAATTTCGGTGTCAGTCTTACAACAACGGGTCTAATATGGCTGGCATTTCTAAAACAATACAAGCTAAGAATTACAGAAATTGAATAAGCTGGATGAATTTGTGCCATGTTTGGCTCACTCCTTCGTATTTATCAATGTGCATTCTGCTTCTTCGTGCCCGGAAGCTGTTAATCTGTTTGGAATTACTCAGAAAATACTTCGCTTTTTTGTCGGATGCACTACTCGACAGTATATTATTAAAAAAAATGTACAAAATACAACTTAAAAGGAAGCAGCCAGACGAGATGGTCGAAAACATCTGTGAAAGTCCTTCTAATGAATTTACCGGAAATATTAAAATATTTAAAAGAAATTAAAGATATTTCTCTTGATGCGGGATCAAAGCATGAGGTAGGGCATTTGTTATATGCTGTGAAAAGTTTGAATTTACACAACCTGAAAATTTGAGCAAATATTTTTTCCAGAATTCATCTGTTAATTGAGTAAATATAGAAATTCAAAAGGAATTCCTCTTTCATGTTCTGTGTAGTTAACGAAAGAACTGACCAAAACTGAGGAATTATAAAAAATGAGAGAAAAATCCTATGGAATATTGGATACAAGAGTCTAAAACAATAGCCGAAAAAATTGCAATTGAGTCTATTCTGACAAAAAAAGAATTCAAAAGCACAAAAAGCAATCTGATGAACTGTTTGAGGACGAATCAAGAACACTTCAATCTGTTCAGATCGAAGTTTCAGAAAATTAAAACATATTAAAAAATATCTACGATCATCGGTGAGCAAGAGCCTTTATCAAGTCTCGCGATTCTGGCAATCGAAAATCAAACCGCAGATCAAATTATGACGATTCCATGCACTTATTTGCAGAACAAAAGGCTTGCGGTGTAAAATTTAAATTTTCGTTGCTAATTCCGTGATATTTTAATAGTGTTAAGGCTTGTAAGAACTTAAAATTACTTATGAAATAGGAAGTATGAAAAACAAGACAGGAAGCATGAATACTCTCAGTAATAGTCCCTTTTCTGTATAATCATTTCAGAATACTTCCTTTCGGCTATAGCCCATATTTTGTATGCAATGGTTCCATTAGTGGCTGAGCAATAAAAGCCGCTGAGCACTAGTAGTTCGGTCCGAGGGTCAAGTATAGGTGAATGGGCTCGCTGTATGAGTATTTCCTTGATTTTCCCTGTGTGTAATATAGATACAAGCCAGTTTTCCTTACAAAGTTTTTTCCACGGTATATTCCTCCTTTTCCATGCAGAGCCTAATGGCGCAACACATAGTTAATAATCGGACAAATGACCTCAACAGTGGCTGAGTGATTAAGACTGCTGAATACTGGTAGTTCGACCTTGCCTGGGTTCAAACCCAGGCAAACGGGCTGGCTGCATGGTTTCTCTTCGTGGATTTCCTCATGTGTAATGTGAATACGAGCCAGTTTCCTTTAAAAAGTCCCTCCATGAAAGCATCTCTCCTCTAATCCGGTAGCGCTCCTGTCTTTGCCATATTCATATAATCTAACCCAACCTAATTTAACCAGTAATGCAATAATATGGAATAGTGAGAAGCTTAGGGGTTGCCCGTTGTCCCTAGAATGGAAAACGAATGGTGGCGAAGACTGGAGGGTTAGAAGCATTCAGGATTAGAATAGAAAAAGAAGGATTCCTACATGTTAAACTTAACCATAAATAGTACAATTTTATTGATCTTGATAAGTAGGTCATACACAACAGTTGAGAGAATGGGGAGCAGTGCTAAATGGAGGAACAAGAGACATAGGGAGACAGCGAGACATCAATTATCAAGTCTTGGTTTCAGTATGAATATAGGAGGCAGGAGACCACTGGGTGAGCAGCTGTGCCACCATGAAGACTTTCAGCTTTATTGCTCACTCAGTGGGACCACGTTTATTTAAACTTTTATATTACAATAAAAATTTTGATTTTGATGTACACGTAATTTTGACATACATTGACAAAATTCATATAAATATTAACAGAAATTTTGATGGTACATACATAGAATATAGAATGCATAATGTAGAATACAAATAAAGATAAACGTGGTATCATGATAGTATGGAATTAGTATGAATACAAGCTTATTTAGCAGAAAAGCGTTTTAAAGTATGATTTGTGGCAAAAATTTTAGTTGTAGATTGGCGGCACTTAAAAACTGCCACATTTGCAGCTGCTGTGGCGCTAATATGTAAGTACTGAATTTTCTATGAAAAATACTTTATGTGGAAGGTAGTGTATTTTCCCTTCTGCTTCATAACTCAGCACTTTGACTACTCTCGATTGTAACCAATCTGGGATCATTGCATTATAGTCTTCAAATTTTTCTTCTAATTCAAGTTTCTTTGTGGTTGAGAGTAATTCCTTTTCAATAGTGTCTCTGTTGTCTGGTAAATTATCCCGATCATCAACCAGTGGCAAACTAGCTTCATATCTACCTTCATAATTTTTTCTCAGTCTTATGAAAGTGATCCAATGCAGCTATTTCCAATTCTATACTAGACTTGTTTTCAGAGGGATCAGTTATTCCTAAAGCATCTAATTGCCATAAATTCTCTAAAATCAGCAGTTGACGGATAGCTGTCTATGATTTCTTGGGGTCTGCTGTCAACTGCCATGCATTGGATGAAATATTGAAATTTATCTTCGTAACCAATTGACTCATCATCATGAATTCTACTGAACTGACTCCAAAACATGAGCCAGTATTTCACTTCCCTACTAAATTTAACTAATTCTGTTTTGGAGAGCTTTAATTTTGTTTTTTTCTCCCATATTCATCACCAACCTGTCTAATATCTCTACTTATGGTTTGGAAGGCTTTCCAAGCCCGCAAAACGACACTTTTGTTGACTTCGAAATCTACAGCCACACTGGTCACACTACACCCCTCCTCCAGCTTTCCAATCATTCTTTCCCTCGTGAAGTCATCCAGATGATTTCTTCTAGCCATATTTCACGAAAGATTTCACTTGCACTTGCAGAGAATGTCTTTAATTGCTTCTTCGTCCTTCCTTTTGTATTAGTCTTGGGTGGAGCGCACGCGTTTTGCGTACGATCACGTAGCCTGTGATGTTTTTTTCCAGACATTTGCATATGCATGACCTTTCTATTGAATTGCATGTTCATTGTACATGTTCATTGTTATAGCAAGAACCCCTTATCTGCAACTGCATGGTTATCTGATCAAAATTTGCATTGTTGCTTAAGTTTTGCACACCAGTGTACATCAAAAATTGTCCATATATGTATATGAATACAAATTTTAAAATTTTATCATTTCATAGTTTTATTTTGTATTTCACTGCCATTAAAATAAATTTTGGACTAATATATATTAATAAATAATTATGCGTATGGTAATATTAAAAAAGAATCTTGTATTGGTATCAGTGCAACATTCTGAACAGAACTTTAAATGACACAGCTTTTATCTGTGTGTATATATATAATTAAAAATAATTTTTTATGTATGTTCTTAATTATAGACTATTAGAGTGAAGGAACCATTATCCAATATGGAAGTTATTCGCCGATTATGCAAAGCAGTTGCAGACCATCTTAATTCATCACTTGACAGCATAAAAGTCTCAAAATATGAGGTTTGTTTTATGTTTAATTATAATTGTAAACTGAATATGCTGCTATAATAGTGATTTATATCTATTTTCTTTAGTACAGATGGAAAGAATTTTTAATTACATACCAAACACATTATTATTTTTATGTTTTAGTTAAATTTACTATGAAAGATAAATAAGAAAATGATTCAATAAAATACAAAAATCTACATGTATAAAAATTGTGGAATACATTTTAATTAGAAAGATTATTTACTGTGTGGAAGTATTCATAAGCTGAATATGAAAAGTTAATTTGCATACAAAAGATTTATTAGCAATATTAAATTTCTGTACATTCAGAATGTGTACTCCTCATCCTTCCCAGTTTTGTTTCTTAGGTAAAATATTATATATATATATATATATAATTGTAAAGAAATACAAGGGGGGGGAACCTTATAATTAAGGAATTTAAAAATTGTTTTAAAAGGACTTGCATGTCCTAGATTTTCTTTTTTATATATATATATTTTTTAAAATATGCTGCCCAGCCTTTATAATGTTTAGGGATCCAGACTGCTGCAGCGATGGGGGCCAAATTTGAATCCCAGAGAAGGCATGGGTGTAACTGTATGTCCCTTCATAGGAAGCAATGGTGGCCACATCAAAAAGCTGCAAAAAAGTGTTGATGAGGTCAACTACCATATTGTCAAAAAGTATTTATGTGGCAACCCATGATGTTTGCCATGATGTATTTATGTGGCCATTCAGGTTCCTTTCCATTCTCAAAATTTTCAATATCTTATATATCAGAGTACCATACTTTTGGCACATGATGCTTTCTAAAAATTAAAGTTTATAAAAATAAAGGAATTATAATTTTATTAGTTTTAAGAGATTGTGTTTGTCATTTTGTCCAGCAGAGCTTGCATTTTTACCTCCGTTCATTCTCTATAATGCACTTGTTGGTGGGGAGGGGGATAACTTTCATATTGCTGCAGTCACTAATACTTTCAGTGTCATAATTCTTCTAACTGCTCTGTATTGCAGTACCATTTAAATAATATAATTTAAAATTAAAATCAGTTTCCTTTTTTTAAATCTGGGCTGTCACAACAAAATATCAGTTTCCCAAAGCCCTAATTCCAAATGCTAGAGTTCTTATCACATGATGTTGTTTATTTTCATTAGTATAATTATGGTTTTAACAGTATCAAAAGGCTGTATAGTATAAAGTGACCACACGTCCCGATTTTGGCAGGACAGTCCCGCATTTTGGAGGACTGTCCTGCATCCAGCTGATTTTAAAAATGTCCCCACTTTTTAGAAAACATCTGCATTTCTTATTTTAAATGTACTGTAAAAATATATTACCTGTTATTTATTAATTATTATAGCGAATATAAAGAAATAAAAAAACACATAAAATGCATGCAGAGTAAACTAAATTAGGCGATGTAATGAGTTAAATTTACTCGGTGGTGTTCGATCATTATCGTTACGTCTTTTCAAGGAATATATATTGTCAACAGAAGAACAGCCAGCATTAGCTGAAGGGCTATTTGCTTTCCACACCATAAACCACAATCAAAGTTTCAAATCAATCTATTGTACGTCGCCGTCGCAAATGATCAAAACACTGTACGACAAAAAATTTGCATGTGCAAGGACAAAAACCGAAGCATATATTTATAAAGTTTTTTCAACATATTCGTTTTTGCAATTGCAGAAAGAATTAGATAAATACACATTTATATCCATATATTATGATGCTTCCAACCACAAAGATTTAAAATTATTTTCCAGAAGTTTTAGATTTTTGATCCAAAAACAAGAATTAAAATTAGAATATTAGATTTTGTTTCATTGCCGGGTGAAACTTCATAAATAATTTTTTATTCAGTAAGTACTATTTTAAAAAAGAATAATTTGAACAATAAAATTATTGACTATTGTGAGGATAATACTAAAATTTTGTTGGAAAAGCTAGAAGAGGCATCAATAACATTTTTATGAAACTTAACAAACGTTTGAACCAAAAAATAATTCGAGTAGGTTGTGCAGCGCACATTCTACGCAATACTATTCAAACAGCATCTGACTTCCTTCCAGTGGATGTTGAAAATATTATTGCAAAGATTTGTTTGTATTTTTATATATATATACTGTGCGTGTTGTAAATTTGAAGGATTTTTGTGAAAGCACAGAAATCAAATATAAAAGAATTATTGGTTACAGCAAAACACAATGGTTAGCTTCTTTACCAGCTGTAGAAAATATTTTCAAAATATACAAACCATTAAAATCACTTTTTATCACAAGATTAATTCCAAGAATAGCTTGTGATAGCAGCTCTTTTTTGAAAATGACTCATCACAAATTTGGCTTCAGTTCATCCACAACCAAGCTACGTTATTTTACTATGCTGTGAAAATTACTGAAGGAGACAAAATTTCAGTTACGGAAGTGTCAAATGAAATCAATAATTTAAAAACAAAATTGCGAGGAAAGAATTTGATAAGCGATTACGTTCCTTTAGTTATTTCGAAATGACATCACTAGGTTGGAAGAACAAGGTGCCATATTAAAAGACCTAGATTTTCTGAAAGAAAGTCAGAAATTTTTATAATAAGTGCTTGGAATATCTTGACGAACGAACAGTTCAATTCGAGGATATTAAAAACAATTTTCCATTGGGTGATATTAAAAAAGGAGATTTTATGGAAATATATGGAAAAATCTTTTTAATATATTAGTAACCATTTTCCAAAAAATAATATTTGCGAAAAGGATATTTTTATTGAGGTGTCATTGGTAAAAGGATACGTTATTACTGATGAAAAAATTAAATTTTGGTTGTCTGCAAATGTGGAAGCAGACAAAAAAATGGATGGAGTTATTCCTTCATTTTAAACAGAATAATATTCCTTATGAAAATATTTTGAAAAGTTGTGAACACGTGCTCCCCCTTCCAGGAACAAATGCAGCAACAGAACATGTTTTTTCTAGTATCAATAAAATATGGACAATTGAAAAAATGCAGTTGAACATAAAAACTTTATTAAGTCTAAAATATAAATTTGACCATTTCATGTGAGAAATTTCACGACATTTTATTAAATGATCCGAATCTGTTGCAAAGTAAACCATTCTCTCGGATAAAAAGTATAATCGTGAAAGAATCATAATTTTTTAAATAAAATAAATTAATTAAAAAACATAATATTCAAATTATTGTTTTTTGCAAATATTTTTATAGTTACCAATAGTTAATAATAAATATATTTTTGTATATTTATAGACAAGTATATGAATGTATATAATAAAATAAATTTTTTTGAATTATTGGTCTGCTTTCATAATTAAATTATAATTCTCGTTAAATTTTACAAAAGCTCGATGAAAATGTGGTCACTTTAGTATAGTACCACTTAGAAAAGGTCATATGATTGATTTTTATTTGATTAATTTTGACATGATTAACAATATTGAAATTTTCCTTTTAAATTCATAATAATGTCACCACCATCCGTTAGTCTAAACATTTGCAGTACCATTAATATAGTCAAATTAATTTTTAATCAGATTTTTTTAAAACAACTGTAAATCTTTCTAGTATTATTATTTAATGAGTGATTTGTATTCCATGCATGTTAAAATATGTAGTTTATCATTAAAACTTTATACATTTGAATAAAGAATATATTTCTACTGTGCTAAGATATTCATTGTGTTCTTGTTTGGTAGCAAAATGTATTTATTTTGCTTGAAATATCTGTTATAAATTTCCTTTTTTGTTTAACAATTATATGTAGTTTTTTTTATTATTTTTTTTATTTAAAAAAATTTAAAATTTCAGTATTGAATAAATAATTTTTCTGTTATCATAGTGTATTAATAAATATGTATTTTATTATAGCCTTCTACTGGAATAGTAAAAATGTTCTTCTTACATACTTCAAAAAAGATAAATGAAACAGACATATTAGAGTTAAAACCAGCATCTGAAGTTTTCAGCCATTTGATTCAAAAAAGACTTAGGAATGCTGGGCACTCTATAAAGATCTTAGATATGAAAAATGGCATGGTAAGATATTAATTCTTGTGATGTGCTCTTTTTTGTGTGTGTTTTCATAATCTTAAAAAATAATAATAATAATTTAACACAAAATAGTTCCCTAAATGTTGATATGATGCTTTATGTGAAAACTTACCTTTATGTAATTGCTGGTTAAGTCTTTGTCAAAATTTTAACTCTTAAATAAACTGAGCATCCTTTGTAAAGTATTTTCATCATGAAATGCAGAAAAAAATATTTGTATCAATACCGCAAGTTGCTGTGTGATGTACATAACATCAGTAATTTTAATCAACTGATTAACAAAAAAAAAAAAAAAAAGATTAAATTAAAATTTAGCATTTGTGCATTTATATGAAACAGAAATGTGCCAGAGTAAAATTGAGGGTGGCTCTAATTTTCATTGATTTAAGTAAAGCTATGTATTTTGAGGGTGACTTTCATATGTCTGTATTCTTCAGGAACCAAAAAAAAAAAGTTGTCAGAATGGTCATGCCAGATTTAAATCGCATTAACCATTAACTTTTAAAGAATCTGATTGTTATATGTTGCTTTTTAACTTTTCTCCTAATAGATAGTGTAAGGATTTTCTACAATTTACCCAGGAAACTCTTATGTGTTCTGACATTGTGTATTTCTCTTCATTTTATTTTCACATTTGCAGCCCAAGAAGGCTGTGTTTGACCTTCATAATTGTAAATTGGTAAATGTTTACTTGGATTACAGAGATTCCTCATACTAATTTTTGATTTATTTAGCATTTATGCAAGGTAGCTAGTAAAAAGAATCAAAGCAGAACACTAGGGGTTAAATCAAAAATAAAATATTGGTTAACTTTATAAAGATAATTAATATCCAATTTACAAAGTATAAAGTACAATGCAAAGAAAGGCAAAATTTTAACATAAACAAAAAAAGAGGAGTCCCCCCTCAAGGAACAAAGAAATAGAGTTTAAATGAATTAGAGCAATCATCTCAGAGACAAAATGCAAACGAAAATCGGTACTACTTGATTTTCACAGCCCATGATAAATCACCAGATATGTGAAATCATAATAGTCTTTTATCAGTTAAACTTCTATTTGCCAAATCTGACATTCAGTTTAAACATTTATGTAAAATTCTTTCACTTTCATCTTCTGTTTCCTAAATATGATTGAATTGCATAATATTGTAGTTTTCTTTTTTTCAGTTTGAGCACTGTAAAAAAATGTTGACAATTTTTAATTTACAGAGAAAGAAAAAAGATGCTGTCATTTTTTCAGGAAAAAGTATATTACCTCAAAACTAAATATACATAAATAAACACAAAATGAAATTATATGTAAACAAAAGTACATAGAGGTGGAATGTGAAAAAGTTGTTAAAAAAAAAAAAAAAAAAAAAAAAAACTTAGATCCAACAAACTGGTTTAGTGGTTCCAGAATACCATTCCTAACAGAGCTGCATTTCATCTGCTGTTGGGCAAGAGAACTAACATCTCTTAAGTTGTGTGGTAAACAACTCAACATGTTTTAAAATACCAGGATTGACTGGAACAATTCTGTCAGAGAGATTTCGTTAGATTTACTTCGACAGCCTAATGGATAAATTAGATGGGCCTGGAAAAATAGTTGAAATTGACAAGAGCTTCTTCATGCAGCAGAAAAACAATGCTGGCAGGGTACTTTAACAATAATGGATATTCGGCAGGATATGCCTTGAAAGTGGCGAGTTCTTTCTTGTTCAATTTCCAAATTGGGAAGCAGGGATTATGATATAGATTCTAGATCACATAGTGGAAGGATTGACAAGATATTCAAATTGTTAGCAAGCCTATAAAACAAAGGAGCTTTAAAAGGCTGGTTTCAGCCATTTAACAGTAAATTACATATTTAATTTTGTTGATCCAACAATATGTGCTCACACCAAAAATGTGGAAAGATCGTGGGGCTTTGTTAAATAGCAAATCAAGAAACAAAGGTTTATCTACAGTTGTATCTTTTAGAATTGATGTGGTAGAAATCCTCTTGGAAAGATAAAGCCTTTTGATGCCATATTAAAAGCAATTGCAGAGATATGGCATCCACAAACTGTATGCGAGTAGTTTAAAGTTGACGATAATCTTAGTGCCATTTTGATAACAGAGGCTGCAAAAATCAAGTAGTACCCAGAAATCTTGATATTATGATTAATAACAAAAAATATAAAAATGAAAAAAATAAAAAATCTTCCATCCAAATTTGCTAGAATCCGAGACTCAAAGTAGCAGTAGATAGCAGTAGAATCAACACAAGAATGACATTAGCTGTGGATTCAAAAGCAAAACAATAACAAAACTCTCAAAATGTCAGTTAACTGCAAATATATATAACTATTCTCTGCCAGTTGTATTTTAGTTAATATTAAGAGGTTGGTAACCTACAATGCTCAATAAATGTGAAATATCTCTGTAAATTTTGAATGGATTTTTTCTCTGCTAAACTAGTTTTAAATTTTCTTTGGCAGGAAGCACCTTTAGAGTATTCAGGTGGTAGAAAAATCAATGTCCAGAGTATATTTAGTGATAAAAACTTGGAAGCATGGCAGTTAGCTGTTATAATTGCAGCAAGTTTATTTGCCCTTTTTTGTGTTTTTCTAATTATTGTAAGTATAAGTTATTTTAATTCGTATCATTTTTATTTGAAAAATGTAATACACTGTTTCATGAAATTGTATTAAGATTCCCACCCTATGATTCTGAATTAGCTAAAAGGTTTTAGCGTCTGTTGAAAACATATTTGATTATTTTTAGGTGTGGAAACAGAGTAGAACATAATTCAGTACTTCTTTGTTAATGCAGATACCACATTAGGCTTTGGCGATATTTGAAATTTACATGTTAAACATGAGGTGCAGTATCCAATTTAAGAAAAGCAAATGCTCAAAATACTAATCAATATTAGCTACTGCATTCTACTAAGTATGCCAATTTACTGAGTTTTTTTTTTTTTTTTGTTTTGTTTTGTTTGACTATTTTTATAATCTTTATATATGTTTGCTTATGAAGTAAATCATAATCCTATATATACTCCAAGTCCAAACAGAAGGGCAGTTTTGTATCTCCTATTCTGACTCAGCCGATCAGCAAAATACAACTTGTGTTTTTTTTATGTTTGGATAGTGCAGTTTAGGATATGTATTAGATTAATATATAGCTTTGTTTTAACGTTTGCATTTTGATTAAAAGTTGAACTTTTCAGAAATGGCATGCCATTTTTTCCCTATATTTCAATTCTTTGGCTCAAATTATGCCTAAATACCAGCTTTTGTAAAATTTGGTGAGAAACTTATGGAGTACTTCAAGAATATAGTTTGCTTCACTTTTTTAACTTTATGCCAAGAATTATTCATGTGGCAAACTCCTCTGTTAATATTAACCATTTCACTTTCCCTTTCATTCTTGCATGTGGGGAAAATTTTATCTTTCTTACAAATATTTTTGCCTTATATTTTGTAAACAGACAAACTTTTAGTTATTTTTATTTTTTTTTAAAGAATTTTATTTTAATTATATTAGATGTGTTTAGTTTAATTATATTTCTTCAAATTATTATGTTAACAATTTCTGTTTATTCCTTCAGACTGTTTAATTTAAGTATAATTATTGAACGAAATCTTTTTTGATGTTATTCATTTGAATTACATTTCTTTCAAAAGTAAACTTTGTGAGGCAATTTTTGTAATGATGCATTTGAAAACTGCATACTACATTAAAAGAGAGAATGCCATAAAGCACGATTAATACACTTTTCAATGGGCCATTCAGAAAAGGCATATAAATGAGAAAAATGTATAATTGACATTTTAATTTAGGATGATATGCATGCACACAATTTTCCATTACTTTACACAGTTTTATTATTGTACTTTTAGTGTGTTGAAATGTTACCCATATTTCTGAATAAGTTCAAAGTTTTTCATTTTTAAAATTGAAAGAATCAAATAGCATAATAAAGTAAATTTTATGCCAGAAAAAAATCATTTATTTATTTTTATTATTTTTCCTTCTTTATTATTGATGATGTCTTGAAGTTTTCTTTTTAATGCTGTATTGTGACAAGAAATCCTAGATGATTTTTTTAAAGGTATTCTGCAAGTATATCTGCAATTATCCACTACCTTTTTATTTACTATATATCATAAACTGTTTTGAAAGAACTTAATTTTTGTGACATTCTTAATGGGTATTGACTTCTTTTTCAGCAAAATTTGGTCAAAGTAAAATAGTAAAGTGATTTTGACTGTGATACTGAATGTGGTTAGAGGTTAAGCATTTTGAAGGCCATCCTGTAATGAAAGGAAAAGCTGGTTTCTTCAATGCTGAAAATGTCTTTGCCGTTGTGAATAAACTTCTCTGGGATGAAATTTTGAAATCTTCAACAATTTGGCTGAGATATCTGTATTTGTATGTGGGCTGGATTCTTTGCTTATGATATTATATTACCTTCTCTGACAATTTATACAGCCTTTCAACTGAAAAACAGTCACTCTTCATATTCATTTGCAGTGTTATTTTTTATGTCTTTTGTGTTGGTGTAGGCCATTTTGCTGGAATATTCGATGCACTGCATTGACTGAAAATTTTAGCATATTTGGAGTTTGAACGTCCAGATATTTTCATCTTGAGTACACTTCTTTGAAGCAGATTTTCTGAAAACTGATGTTCTTTCTTATAATTATCTTCTTTTTGAAACATTTGTTTTCAATGCTGACCAAAGAATATTCATTAATTTTGGCAGCTATATTTCCATAAATTTTGTATTCTTGTCAAATTCTTTTAAAAATTCAATTTTATCATTCAGGAAGACTGCTTTTCATTTATGTCTGGTTATTGCCAGCTTTGTCTTTAATGTCAGGCATTACAACTATTAGGCAGTGGGTGGGTTATGTGTGGGTTAGAGAAAGACAATGTGAACCATTTAGTGGGTCTGGAGCACCAAAATGAACACCACAATGCATAGAGATTCACTATCGGACTGATGCAGCAGCAGTCTGTTAAGGTAGAGTTGGTTGCAGTCTCTGTGGTATATGTATGTGAGATTTGAGAGTTTCCAGTCTCTTGGAGACTGTGCATGGCAGGTTTCTTATTAAATAGCTTTTTGCATTTTGCTAGTAATCTTTACTTGATTGTTCCAATAAATATTTATGTATATCATATTACTTAATACACTAGTCTTAAATGAAATAATACTTCAGATTTTAATTTTTGACACGTGTTTATGTTGCCAACTTTATTTTCAAGCTTTTGCAACTCATCCATGAATTTTTACAACTTGTTTGTCATGTAACATAATAATAATCGGTGAAATTTTTATGCATAGATTTTATGAAGAAAGAAAAAGTAATTTATTGTTATTTTTATTTGCTTGTTATTTTTTGTCAATTATATAGTTTTCTTCTTTCCTAGCTATTTCTTAGTTCTCAACGTATTACCAAAGATAAAGTCGGTCCAGTAGAGGAGCCACGTCATGTTGTTGTTCAGCCAATTATAAGACCAGCTGTAGCTGGAGTTGGTATTATCCAGCCAGAAAATAGGGATCGTCATATTGCTGAAACGGATTCAGAACACACACCAAGCCCATCCCGCAGTCCTATGAGAATGAAGGGCAAAGGCTTGCTTGAAAGGTTTAGTTTTCTTCAATTTTCCCCCTATTTTCTACTTTTTCGTTCATTGTACACCCTATTTTTTAACAGCTTATTTTAAGGCATTACTCTTCATTTGTGGAATAGGTATAAAATTCTAAACTTTTGTCATCTTTAGTTACTGACAGTAGTTGCTGCATAACATGATCATATTGATAATTTAGTGATAACAATATGAAACAATGAAACAACAGTATGAAATGGAAACTTACAGTACTTTCCCATTTTCATGGCCCCTATCACAGGGTTGCCACGCTACCTTGAAAACCGGAAAAAGTCAGGGAATTCGGAAATTGACCAAAAAATTCAGGGAAAAGTCAGGGAATTTTAAGTGTTTTAGTAAAAATCTGGAAAAGTCAGGGAATTTCATACAAGGATCCCACCAAAAAAGGCGAGTTTTGCGCCGACTTCGGAAGAGATCACTTTTTTGGCAAATTGTGTATCACGTGAGTGTCATTCTGGCAGCTGGCATAGAGCCAATTTTCACAGCTCCAATTTGATTGTCTTTTTAGAAAGGCAAAGCAAGTTTCCTGCAACTTTTGGTTCCAGTAACCTCAAGAAACACATGTGCAGTGCATGAACTAAGGAAAGTACCTGTTCTCGTATAAAACAAAATGGGTTTAATCCTAGTATACGGTACCATGAAGGTTAGAATTAAAAAAATATGTATTATAAAGAAGGAAAACCTCTCTGCAACAGACGTGGCTCGGTTCCATCATAGCGGGAAACAGCTGTGCCTGCGCGATATATCTGTCGCCAAAGCTCGAAACCGGTGTCGAAGTTCAAAGGTCACGTTATCAAGAGTTCATAAAATGAATATCGTTTAAAATGTCTTTAAAGGAAAAGAAAATATTTTTTGGTGCAAGTAAATTAATTCATGGATTAGTTATTTGGGGGGGATCTACGAAAATCCGTTTTTAAAATTATTGCGAAAAATCCAAGAAAAAATTTACTTTGATAAGTGGATTTTTCGCAATAATTTAAAAACGGATTTTCGTAGTTTTCTTTTTTGTCAAAGAACGTTTCTTCTTAACACGTATTTCTCAATTTCCTGTACACATCGCGGAGAGGGAAATTCTGGTTGTTCCGTCGTCAAATCCCTTGGCAAATTTTCCCTCCACTTTTTACATAGACGTTCTTTGGTGAGAATAATCTCCATGTATGGTACAGTGGGATTTGGCGACATGATGATGAGCAGTAAATGGGTCATTTTGTTCTTGGCGACAATTTTCAAAATCATACGAAGACGGTATTGTATACTAGGATTTTACAGCAAAATCTTTTTTTTTTTTTTTTTTTTTTTTTTTCTTTCTTTTTAATAAATACCTTGTCGTTTTGCAGTAAAATAAAAAAATAGTAATCAATCATCTAGGATAACCATGTAATATAACTATATTCTCTGAAATATCGTTGATTATTCTAATTAAATTTTTAAGTAATTATCTTTATTTTTATGTTATTCATATCATTTAATGTTGCTTCTTCCCTCTAAATTTATTTATCATAAGTAAATAATATTTCCAAATTCAGGAAATTTTCTCTGGCATAATCCTGAAATTAATTCTAGCAGTATGATGACATCACGAATTTTAATGCACATATTTTTTCCTTATGTATGCTGCGAAATAAATATAAAATACCTCAATTTAGTAAAAAAATATCATTAAATAGATTTTCTTTCGTTTAGCTCCAGGATGTCTGCAAAAAAAGCCTTATTTTATTCCAGATTGGGCAGATTCTAATCTCAATCTTCAGTGGAGAAAACAACTCCTATTATAATTATATTTGTGTTTGCAAGTGTTAAGGTGCCTTTTAAGAATACACCTCACACAAATTAAATTTATCTAAAATCTAACCTAACTTTTAGCATTGCGTTGTGATTTATAAAAATCGGATTAGCCTCGTGTTGAACTGGGGATGATCATGAGTAATAATTAAATAAAATGTACAGTTGTTATCCAATGTATATATCTTAAACTTAAATTTATTAAGTTTTTTAAGCGGAAAAGTAAACAAAATTATCAAACAAAGTGTACCAAGAATAATTAAGAATAAATGTCCTCTGGGATTTATTGAATAATTAAGTGAATTTGCTACACAGTACAAGTAATACCATAGTTAATTTACCTCTTAGCACAGCCAACGTACATTACGCGGATAGACTGGAATTTTCTCGAAACATACTTGGAAAACCTGGAAAAGTCGGGGAATTTCTTTCTCCTGTTTGAGTGGCAACCCTGCTATCATAATGATGCCAACATATCACCAGGTTCCTCTGGAATGAAGTAAAATACCTCTTTCTTGGAAGAATGATGTAGCATCTTTCTCGTAAATCAAAAGTTGGTGTAAAAAACAATAAAGCATGGTCTACTCTCAAGTTTTTTTGTTTTTTTTTTTCCTCCTTAGTGATATTTTTGGAAAGTTTGAGTTTTTTCTCATGCCATTTAGTAAACTTCCATGCTCCATGCTTGATATTAAAAACATTTCCTGTATCTAACAATAAATAAATGATGGCAGTATTACAAACAGCATTATGAAGCCATTGAACCAATTATGAGAACATGTATTTTTCTTTTGCTTGCACCATTTTATGCCGCACCTTAAAATGCTTTCATTTTTATATAGTTTTATTTAATGGTCATTTTTGCATATTTGAATTAATGGTACAATGGCTTTTAATGTAGCATATTCTTCAGTAATTTGTAAATAAAAAATTAAGAAAATTTATTAAATAGACTAGGAAGGTAATAGAATGAGGAAGATAAATTCATAGCTTTTATCTTCCTCATTCGTCAGCAAATCAAAAATTGTTAATACATTTTTGAAAAAAGAAAAACACATTAACACACTGCCTGTTCACAGTTTTTCTCATGTTGAATAAGCTAAATAAATGATTGTTATTAGAGTAAATGTCAGTCAACTTTCATTTGTAAGAATTTTAAATAATGGTGAATAAAACAAGATTTGTTGAAATTACATTACAAAATAAGTACACGTAGCACAGAGCAGTAATAATCTTACAGAATTTGAATACATATCTTAAAATTAATTAAAAATTAAAGTACTGTTATCATATTTGGATGCAGTCAAAAGTTTACTGCCATGGTGGCTAAACAAAAGCACATGCACTTTATTTTGCCAGATTGAAGTAATTTACATAAGAACTGTTTGGTGATTTATCATTATTCTTGCCTGCATTTAAAATCTGGGGCAGTAAAAATTAGCCAAAATGGTTAGGTACCAAATGTAATGTTTGTTACAAGTGGTTGATAATAATGTTAGATTTATGTAACAAGTATTATAAAGTCAAAAAAGGGGTATTTGTTATGCACATTTTAAGGGGAGAAAAGCAAAACTATCAGTGCATATTGATTATGTACTTGACAATTGATTATTTTTTATCAAACACTAGAAAGCAAAATTTCTAAAGCTTTTTGCCAACTAATTAACTGCTTTCAACTTCTTAGTGTATAATTTCACATTTCTGTTTTACTCATTAATTTTATTTAATCATAAGTCTACTAATCATAAAATTCATAATTTAATTTTAATTTCATCATAATTGACCAAGAAATCTCACTTAGATGACAATCCATTTTGAATATGTTTTTAATAGGGATCTTGTTCATTGACATAGCTAAAATATCTAAAGTATCCAAGAGTGTTCTGTTATATAGTAGTCCCTTTTCTTCAGCATTGATTTTATTTAAATTTTTATTTAATTCTTAATCTTACTCAACAACTACAATATTCTTTCACTACTATCCAGAAAACTGAGTTAATGATATAGTAGTGGCAGGAAAGGAAACTGCGTTAATATGCTTCAGTGCCACACTGATTATCACAAGATCATCACTTAATCTACTAAAAGACAGCTGTTCTGCTTTGTTTTGCCTTTCCTTTTCATTTTCTTTATACTATTGAATCATCAATCTATTTAATTTTAAAAGCATCTATAGCTTAGTCGTTCCATTTTAAAAGTCTGTTGTTACATTATAAGTCATTTATCTTCTACATGACTTGACAGATCTTGCTATTTTATGAGGCATTGGATCTTTCATTTACCTTTCATATTAGCATAAGATCTCTATCATTCAGTGCACTAAAACAATGCATTGTTTAACAAACTGAGAGACTTAAAAGCAACAATTTTAAAATTATTTTTTCATAGCTTTTAATTGATACAATTTATAGTACACCCATTTCATGTGATTTATGTTATGCAAAATTCACAATTTGTTAAGTGTTATACCATAATTGCAATTAATAGGTGTTTCTAGTGCATTGTGCCATGCATCTTGATGCAGAATTTATTTGCTTTCTGGCAAACAGTAAGTTCACTCTGATAATACACTCACGTTTGTGAAAATTGCAACACCATGAAGGACTTACGCGAGTGAGCTGAAATTTTCAGGAAATGCAAAGTAGCGCATGATATGCAAATGATTAGAATTGCAAATCCGTAGCGCATGCGTATGCTGAGCAGCGCCCTCTGAACGGCTGATGGATCTGAATAAATAGACGGCTGTAGCGAGGCGTGTATGGGTTATCGGTGGTTATCTGCTAGGGGTAAACGTTAACTCAATCTGTACTTATGCCTCGTCGACGAAAGAGAGCAAGATTTGAACAACTTACAGAGTTTGAACGAGGGAGAATCATCGGCCTTCGTGAAGCTGGATTGTCGTATCGTGCAGTAGCCTCTCGTGTGCAGCGTAACAGCAGCACAGTGATGCGCGTTTGGAAGCAGTGGACGGACGAGTGTCGGACAACTCGGAAATCCGGGAGTGGACCCCGAAATGTGACGTCAGCTCACGATGATAGACACCTGGTCCGCATGGCGCGGACGGACCGTACAGCTTCCTCTAGACATTGGCAGCACTGTGGTCAATAGCTACAGGTGTTTTATTGTGTGCTTCATCAATTCGTAGACGTCTGCTGCAGTGTGGACTGCGCGCACGGACTCCTTTATACAGGATCCCCCTAACGCACAACCATCGCCGCCTGCGGCTAGAATGGGCCAATCAGCATAGAGACTGGCGTGCTGAATGGCAGCATGTCGTGTTTTCTGACGAATCCCGCTTTAATTAGTGGTACCATGATGGCCGCATTCGTGTCAGACGCTATGCCGGTGAACGCCACCTTCCGGAGTGCATTATCGAACGCCACAGTGGACGAACACCCGGAGTTATGGTCTGGGGCGCCATAGCATATCATAGACGATCTCAATTGCTACGAATTGTGGGCAATCTGAACAGCAAACCGGTATATCCGCCGTGAAGTTCTATACAGCCCGAAGCTGTTCCCTTCCTTCAAAGCTTGCCAGGGCGCTGTATTTCAACAGGACAATGCCCGCCCTCATACTGCTCGGATTGTTAAAAAAAATCCTTCTTTGCAGCGCAGCAGGTACAGCTTCTTCCTTGGCCTGCGTGTTCCCCGGATATGTCGCCAATTGGAACATGTGTGGGATGTCATTGGTCGGCGTCTTGCTCGTGATCCTCGTCCTGTTGCGTCTGCAGACGAACTTTGGGTACGCGTACAAACGATATGGAATGCTCTTCCTCAGTCAGACATTCAAACTTTGTTTGACTCCATGCCACGTCGTGTAGCAGCACTTATTGCGGCGCGTGGTGGCCACACAAAATACAGATTCTGATCTCTTGTTTTTGTTTGTTTGCTTTGAACATTTAATCATTTATTTGTACCACTACCACTCAACTGTGTATTAAATTGCATTCAATTATGACGATTCCTTCTTGGTGTTGCAATTTTCACAAACGTGAGTGTATATTTCCCCCCCCTTTTAAACTAGTTATACATGATGCAGAAATGATGTACCATTTAGCAGTTTTGTGCTATGTAAATGACTTATTCTTCAAGTTTTATAAATATTGTTTGAAAACACAATAATGAAATTTAGGTTCAACAATATTGTGCATATTTTCAAGCAAAAATTTAGTAATACTTGAAAAAAGATATTTTTGTAATCTTTGTTTCTGCAGCAGGAAAATCTTCATCTTGCTTTGGATTCTTTGTACCTAAGAGTTATTTGTAATCAGTCCTTTCTTGATTTCTCTAGCCAGTGTAATAGCTATGTGTAGAGGGAAAAAATCCTTCCCCTCCACCAGTCCTGAGTTTTCTGACATAATTTTGCAGCCTTAATGTGTACATCTTAAACATAGACATTAGTTATTTTATAACCCAAATTTTGACATTTATAATAAGCAGCAAATGAGTGTATGTACAATTAGTGGTTTAATTGTACTTTTGTTACAAAAGTAGCTCATATTTCTTTAATCCAAAATAATATGCAAGTTATAACTTTACGTATGATTACATTAAGTGGTAATCATTGTCATTCAGTGCCAAATATAATTTTAAGTATAAAATCTAATTAATTTTTGTATATGGAGGAAAAGGCACATCAGTTGATCTTTCTATTATCTGTTATGTTTCATGATGAGTAGAAGCATTTTTATCAGGACCTGTAACTGTAATCAAATGATATAAATTTTTATTCATTATGATATATAATTTATGTATATAATATTTGTTTTGTTGGGGAAAGTTTTTGAATATTGAGATCAATAATTTAGTAGAAGGTAGACTCTGTAATAGCATTAATTCATTTCTATAATACTGAATTTGGATGTATTTTTATGTTATAGACGTGGATCAAATGCTTCTCTTACTCTGGACTTGAATCGCTCTCAAGAAAATATCCATTGTGGTACACCTCCAAAAGAATGGTTTGTACTTTTGTAAAGAATTTAAGATGTGTAAATAATAAATGTGTATGTGCATGCATGTTTTTGTATGTAAACTTAAAATAAAGCTATGTGTAAAAATATAAAGTAAATTGCTTTATTAATATTGGTCATTATTAATTGGAACTCATTCAGACTTCATGCAGAAAAATGATGCTTGTTTTCTGCAGTGTAGAACAAAATATATTTAATACATATTAATATTTTCAATTAATATGTATGATGTTTTGCCAGTTCAATGAGAAAATTCTTTGAAGATTAATTTACTTAAATATTTTGGTGGAAATGTAATGGCCAGACTAATCCTTTTCTTAAAATTTTGCATAAAGCACTTTTAAATGAAACAATAAGAATATATAAAGTACTGTGTTTTTGTAGATATATTATTTATTGATTTTTTAATTATAGTTATATTGGCTTTAATAATTAATATAACATCACTTCCATATCTGAAAATGTTTTGCAAAATTTAAAAGGGGGGAAGAAAGAATTTGCATTTTTCATTATAATATGTAGTCTTAACTTTTATGATGTATATCTCGCGATAAAGACTAGCTCAGAAAAATTGAAACAATAAATAACATCTACCTGATATTACTTCAGTAACTCCTAAAATGAAGAGATAGTATGGCACATAATTAACACAGTTTAATTACATGAAAACCTATATTGAACATAAAATTTTCTGGCTACATCTGTTCGCTATGGAAATTATATAGCTGTTTACTTACTCAAGATTTCCAATGTATATTTCATTATGTGATGTCAGTCCTTGACTCATGCTTAATGCTCCTTGACCTCGTGCTTAAATTTTGAATTCTGAAAGAAAGAATCAACTAAGGTTAATAAAAAAAGACATATTAATAAATGTATGCCATATTCAATTAACATAGGGAAGCTAAAATTTTGAGACCAAATTTTTTAAAATCTGCTGGGGGCAATTTTTATGAAACTTGGCACTTTAGAATAATTTGAGGCATAGGATCAATATATTTAAAAAAAATAAGTATGTCATTTCAGAAAAAGTCCGATTTGGTGTCAGGATACCTATGTTAGAATAATGCTGTACATAAATCTAAGATATATCCTAAGTTATGCTTTCGAAGCATGAAAAACTCAAGTTGGATTTCATCAGTTGGCCTAGTAGAATGAGATATACAAAACTGTTCCCCCCCTTTTTTTTGTACATAATACAATTATTATTTTTTAAAAAATATTTCATGATTTTTGTTTGGGGCAATGTCTGGTACAATTCATTTATAGTTTTGCAGGAAGGAGTGAAAATTTTTCCTCGCCTCTCATAAAGTGTCCTCCTTTCTTTAATTGAGTCAATCTCTATTAAAAAAAAAAAATTGGATAGTTCCTGTGCTTTTTTTTTTTTTTTTTTTTTTAACAATTAATTTAACTTTTTATACATCAAAGGCTTGTTATCTTCTTCATTATTTCTGCTTTCACCATCAGAAGATAATCCGATTCCTCATTTGTCATTTCATGATTGTAACTCTCAACTAATTTGTTGAATTCTTATTCTTCCATATCTGAAGATCCTTCGTCACTTGTTGCTATTGCAGTCTGTACAATTTCCTTGGCTTCATTTTTCAGTTAATGGAAATCTTTTTAAATTGTTTACAACTTCTGGCTAGAGCTTGTGCCAACAAGCATTAATTGTTGATGTTTGCACTTGTTCCATTACCAGTTTAATAATTTCTGTGCAGTGTCTTGTTGTGCTTTCCTTTGTCTAGTTCTTTATTTTCAGAGATGTAAATAATAGGTTTTGAATGTTTTGATGATTCATTGATCCATCGGTTGAATTCAGGAACTGGTGTTTGTTGGAAGGAACATTAGTCCTATACATTCGGATGCAATATTATGAGGGCTTGAGCATCATATCCTGGAACATTCTCGAGAATTAAGAGAATTTTAAAGTTCAGATTTTACTGTTCCAAGTAATGTTTGACTTTTTTAATGAATAAATTTTCAAAAAAGTCATTAAAGAATGCTGTTACAATGGGGCAGGCACTTTGCAACGTAGCACTTATAATTGAAATTCTTATGTTGGGCAAGTGAAATGAAAACAATTAAGAAACCACATATATGCAAAATCATTTCCCGCAAGCCTGTGTTGGGAAAGGATTTACTGTAATTGAATGTATAAATACCATATTTTGTGACAAAATTATGCAAATATCTTTTCTTTTAAGGTAAAGAATAAGTGATAAATTGTCTTATTTAAGATAAGCCTCCATATAATCCAGATATGGTTTTCAAAGGAAATTTTAAGCTTTCTCTCCAAAAAATTGTTTGATTTTGGAGCTAATATGATAGTTTTCTCTATTAGGAAAACTGTGGCACTTTTCTCTTTTTTGTATGAAGTATTGTAATTGCAAAAAATTTGGGTGTAATATTCAACAGAAATATCCATTTTGACTATCCTGAATACATTTGAATGATTTTTTTTTAGTGACATCTGTATATACAGATAGAATAAAGCACTCTTTGTTTGTAAAATAGATTCAAAAGGAATGTTTTTCATGATGTCTATACGTACATACATATGTAGTATGTATCTCACATAACTCAAAAATAATTAGCCAGAGAACGTTAACATTTTGTTCATGGAACTCCTATAACATCTAGTTGTGCACCTCCTTTTTTTATTGTAGTTGGCGGTACCAAACATATATTATATATATATCCATTCTCCCCTTTACCTTGCCTTTATTTTCACAATCATTGTGGTAGTCTTCTTCCAATTATACAAGTGTTTAAATGACAAACATATTCTGGTTTTGGCAATGTCAAATTAAAAAAAAAAAAATTTTATTTTCAGACCAACAGTGCAATCTTTAGTTCCTATGCTTATATCTATCTGGAAAAGACTTGTTATGAAAAAAGTAAGATTATAAGAAGTTTGACTCCCTTATGTCAAAAATTGACCAGGATATTTAATTTCAAAATTTTCAATTTTTGATGTCATTTTTAACTTTCCTTGAGGGATCTTTTAATTAAATTAGAATAATTCAAGGAAATAAGTTAAAGTGCTCATTTAAAGTGCAGCAAAAAAAAAAAAAAAAACATGTAATTTAACAGGCTGTACAAGGGAATCATATGGTTTGCACATCATACCTTTTATTTAACATTTATACCTTATGTTAAAAAAATTTTTTTTTAGATGTTAGTTGTAGCTACACAAGCATATTTGTTTTATAGCTCAGCTGAAGAATATCTCCAGTCTGCTGGGAAAAGAATGACTCGCCATCAGCTTCGCTTGGTGTTAAAAGATGTTAAAGCCCTTCACACAGAATTTTGGGTTTGTGATATGTTTTTGAGTAAAGATTGAATGGATTTTAATGATTTTTTTTCATCAAACGTGTATATTAGGTTACCTAAAATGAATTTCGTTAATAAGTTTGTTGAATCAGTTAAGCATATGTTTTTAGAACTGTGAATATTTGATCTGCTATATTTTTAGTTTCATTTGTACTTTCAGGAAATTCCAATGAATCATCCCGAGAAAGTTGTAGTTGCAGGTTCTGGTACAAAAAATAGATATAAAACTATTCTACCGAGTAAGTTTATTTCCACATTTTTAGTTTTCTAGGCACATTTTATTGTATATGTCAATACATATTAACAAAACAGTTGTGATGTGAATTTTTTATGCATCTTTATTTTGTAAATCAATGTTTTTCAATCCCTGTATCAGAAAATAACAGCCTTAAGTTAACCTTTGTAATGTTAGTTGTAGAAGTGTTTTATTAGTCAAACGAAATTTTTTTCTTCTATGAAAAGAGTGTATTACAACTGCTGCAATGTAAGGAAATTTACTGGAATTAGAAGGTCTGAGTAGGAATTTATTTATGATGTTAATCTTAGAAAATCCTTATTATACAATTATGATAAAATGTGGGATGTGGAAAATTTTAGTTCACCAGCAATTTTTTTTTTTTTTTTTTTTTTTTTTAAGTTTTTTAAAAATCTTGGGGGAAAATATTGTCTGTCCTGCCGGGGTTAGGAAATCTCCTTAAGAAAGTATCGTAACCTAATGGTACATATTATCAAAAATAAATATTTAGTAAAGCATATGTAAATATTTATTTACTAAGAAATTTTTCTAGGTCCTTACGATTCTATTGTATATTTCATTCAAAACATCCTAAAATATTAATTAAAAAAAAAAGCTGTAAAAGTTTTGCTTCACTAATTATTCCATTTGATATTCTTCATTTATAACTATGAAATTTTGCAAACTTCAACAGGAATGTACTTATACAATTGCTTAAATAAGAATTATACAAAAAAAAAAAAGTTTGTTTCATATATAATCATTTATTAGAAAGAGCAAACTTGGTCATAAATCCTCTGAGCAATGAATGTCATATTTTAAGATGGAGGTAATTTTAATTTCTTAATTTATATACATATATAGGAATGTTAAAATGCATCAAAATAGATTTTTCCCCATTTGGTCATAAATCCTCTGAGTGGTGCAGATTTTTGGATCTGTCATAAAGGCCTGTATTTAAACAGCATTTCTTAGCTAAATTTGTATATTTACTTATTTAGTGTCTGTTTTCGTAAACTTACATTCATTAAGATGACGTTTACATTATTAACCTTCCAGCATTTTTTTAACTGGGCTTTTGTGTTACGTCGCAGCTTTTTCATAAAAGTTATGACATGCCTGTTGTTGTGGGTGACGATTCGGAAAATATTTTTTTCTCAAATATTTTGCAATTTTCTGTTATTAATTGCCATGTATTATTTAAATTTGAATATATTTGGTTCTGTAAATTTTATGTCGGTTTTCATGGCAAAAAAATATGTGCAACCAGCTGATTTCTTCAAGAATTATCTGATGAAGAAAAGGAAGACAAGGAAACCTGTAAATGGGAGAACAATAGCGATTTCCATTCCTTATTTTCTTTTATTTCTATTTTTTAAAAATAAATAAAAATATTAAAGTTAGCTTAAAGTGTGTTTTTGTAACCAGTAAGAAGTAAATTTCCTTGCAGAAGTAAGTAATGCTAAACTTACTTTTTTTCCTACCAAGGTGTTTTCCTTTTTTTATTGTCTATACTTGCCTTTGTTGAATATTAAACTTAGCTTCGATTTTAAAATATAATTTTTAAATAATAAATTAAAAATTTTCTATAACAAATGCATCATTGCATTTCTATCTCACTAACATAGAACTTAAAAATAATTTACTTATATTTGACTGTGATATCATTTGTATTTTAGAATAATAAGATTAATATTTTATTTTTTAACAAATTTATTATCAATATTCGCTCATTTCTGTTGTTTTTCGTGCCAAAAACGGTAAAATAACGAATGTCGTAAAAAATACGATGCACACGTGCTCATGTAAAATTGCCAAGCACGCATGCTGGAAGACTAAAAAAAAGTAAAAAGAGCAAAATCTAATATACTGTACAAAGTCCAAAATCCAGACGTCCATTATCTGGAATGATCTAAAATCCGGACCTCAAAGCCACAAACTTTTTTTTTTTGTATGCTTTATGCGTGCACATTTGATTTTTCCTTCTATAATAAAATGTATGGAGATTTTTGCTTAAAAATTCCGATTTTTAATTTCACTTTGGCCCTAATTAAAATACATCGTTGTGAAAAAACAATCATGTAAGCATACATTTGTGAGATTAATAATTTGGTTCCGCAGCTGAGTGTCTGCTTGGCATTACATCTCAAACTGAAACATTCATCTATTTTGTATCCCTGACGCCGACTTGGCGAGTCATTATTATGTTTTGCTTTCAACACCGCATGTTTATCAATATATAACAGCTTCAGTAATAATTCATGCAGTGATGTCTAAACTTTTTTTTTTATATTAGTAATTGAATAACAAGAGTAAGGCAACCTTTTCTGCTAACATTACGCTTGGCGATGATTATGGATTTTTTTAAATGCTCTAAGAAATGTTGACGAGGAAAAATTCAACAAAAATTTCTTTTTATATGCTAAAAATAGATTTTGTTAATGAAACTCATAGGCTAAAAGATTACATTTAGTACTATTTTAATTCAGAATAACTGATATGGTATTCACCATAAACCCAGAAGTGGCATCAGAATTTAGGGAAGACACAATTTTTGGAATTTGGGGAAGCACCGAGCAGCAAAATTAAGGGATGAGAAGTTTTTTATAATTTAGGGCGAAAAGCACTGGGATCCAAAGTTTAGGTCCGGTGAAAAATTAGAACTTAGGAAGGTGCTTTGTAGTAGAATTTAGAGACTGCACCAGACGGTATCTAGCGCCGTCCCTAGATAAAACCTAGATATGTGGGAGTTTATTTATTCAGGACTCAGATTAGTTTTAAGCTTGTGCAAGAAATAAACATAGGGTATAGTAAATAACTAATACAATTCAGGCTTAATTCATTATGCAATAGGAGCAAGACAAAATTTAGCAGAACAACTTGGCTTTCATCGCCAATCTTGTGATACACAGCCAATAATGTATAACGGACACTATTAAGCTAGGCTAAAATTATCTTAACTGATTCTAAGGCATTTCAGTGAATGTAGCAGACTGAGCTGTCCCTTAATCTTCTAATTTGATCTAGCTTATTATTTTTTGAAGACTGTTATTATTACAGCAATTTTATAAAAATTAAGCTTGAACTTTCGATTATATCAAAAAGAGTTTCCAGTTCTGGAGCTGCCAAAGGATCTACTTAAGTTAAACCACGTTTTGATGTCCATTTAACAAAAAGTGGAATCGCTGCAAAAAAATGGATAAGGGCATACCATCTCAAAATTATACGAGGAGTATGGCATTGGAAAGTCAATTGTATGTGACATAAGAAAAAAGAACTTTTTGAATTTTTTTTGGAAGCAACTTGCAACTTGAAATTTTTATGGAAGCACATTGAAAGAAATGTTTATTAAAGCAAACAAATAAATATCAAGCTTTTTTTTTTTTTTTTTTTTTTTTTTTTTTTTTTTTTTTTTTGTAAATTTTGGTACCCTTTAGATCATAATTGTTTCTTATTTCATAAATTACAGTTTCATATTTTTAATCGTATAATTTCTGCATGCCATTTTACCAGATTTAAATTGATGATCTATTATCCGGAAATTAAGAGGTAAAAATCAACTTTATTTCAAATTAATAGCTTTCTATAAAATATTTTTAAATACTAATAAACCAAAATAGTGTATTTAATGAATGTAAAATATTTTATGTATATTATGCTGAATTTAATGTGGCCATCAAATCAACCAGCTTTATTAGGTTTTTCTTGTGAGGGGTCAAGGAGTTAGTTCTCTTATATATAAGATTATTTTCTGTGAATATTTTATCACTAGATATTCTAAAAATGCAAACTACCTTCCTTTTCTAAGAAGTAGATATTATATTTAGTATTATTATCAACATAGGTATCCTAGCATAATATTTACCCATTTTTAAGATTAAAAATATGTGTAATACTATTTTTCTGGTGGTGTAAAGATTATAAAGTGTAAATTTTATTCCTTTTATTTGTGAAATAGTGAGTTTTTGCCTTTGCAGATGAATCAACAAGGGTTCATCTTTATGAAAAAAATGGAGATCCTCTTTCTTCATACATTAATGCAAATTATATTCGAGTAAGTGAATTTTACTGTGCTTTCATAGTATGTTAAAAGTGCATTATTTTAATTAAAAATTCATGAAATACAATATCTTTTTTCTTAAATGATTGTAAACATTTGTAACTTGAAAATCTGGAATCAAGAAAGAATCTTGTTTAATGGGTGAAGGGAATCTCTCTTTTGTTTTTTCCTAATTTTAAAACAAGTAAAAGGAAATGCAAATATAAGGTAAAAACTCTACTGTCTGGAAATCTTGTGAAATGCTGAATGCTAGGTACATAACTCTGGATAGTTAAGTGTATAAAAATTGCAATTCATGGAGGAAAAAAATATAAAAGCAGTTATCTTATTTGTTATCAGCATAAATCTCAGAAACTTGCATTTAACATAATGAAATTTTGAAAAAAATATGCATTTCAACCATAAAGCCGACATGTTTTCATAAGCCTTAAATCAGTGGTTCTTTTTTGCCCAGCGCACCCATTTTACTATTGCTAGATATTTATTCCCTACCTTGCTCATTCTCTAAACTCAAAAAATGCATATACATTTATTTAAATATAGATTATTTTTTAATGTGCTATAAATTAAACAAGGAAAGAAAATATTAATAAATACCAAAACTTGAATGAAAGTAGTTCTTTAAATTCATACTAAAACCAAGTATTAACAGGTTAAAAAAAAAGGCTGACCACTTTCTGTACCTAAAACTATGAAATTACCTTCCTGGTTGAAAACCCCGACTCCATTGCATGGTGCTCCGTTTAGGACAAGTCCTGAATTTTAATCACTTTTTCAAAATGCAAGAGATGAAAACATATAAACAGCCGTAAACTTACATCTTGGAGTTTATATGTTTTCCGCTCCTGTTTGCATCATGTTCACAAAAATTTATCGAGAATTAATCATATTAACATAAAATCAAGGTAAAGATCGTAGGATTACATTGTAATGCAATATGCATCTGTTTATTGGTGCTAAATCACAATATTTGGAAACAGTTTTTATTTATTTTGTAGTCCTATACTTGCTTTGTGATGGCTTTACAAGTCTGTTATTTTTTCAGTTTTCATTAAAAAAAGGGATGGAAGAAGTTCCTGAACTTTTCCAAATATCTGACCTTTTTGGTAACTTAAAAACTAGATGGCTGGCTTTTACCATGTATAAAAACAAAAATAAAAGCAAATTATTTACATAGTTTTCAAGTTAAAACAAATTTTCAATGGAAAATTGTTAAAAGTGAATAATTTAATAATAATAAAGAAATATTAAATAAAGTTTAAAGAGAGATGTTTAGATTGAAAAGAAAGCCTTGGCACCTGATTATTATTAATTATTATTATTATTATGTTCATGTGCATACATGCATTTGTGTTTCTTATTAATGTGAAACTTATGTGAGCTACAAGTTTGTTATTCTAAAAACTGGATCTTTACTTTTAAATATCTGGGAAACACTCTGATCAGAAGATCATAAACAGACAGTCTATATGCACTTTTTCAATGAAATTAAAATTATTATAAAATTAACTCTAAAAATTCAGCATTATTTGGGATGTATGAAAAAGAATTACATGTATATTTTTGCTTGTAAATAATAATTTTAAAGAATTTGAAATTACTATTTGCATGCTGCATAATTTATACACTGGTGTAATGCAACAATTTGTAAACAAAATGTATGTTCAAAAATTAGAAAATAAGCAATCATTGCATTCATTATCATCTCCATTGTGTTTGGTAGAAACAGTTAATATGGATATGATCACTGTGCTATTCTAGCTTTGAAATGGAATTAGAGTATGAATTAAATTTTGTAGATTTTCACTGGTTTAAGAGTGCTAAATGAGTTTCTGGAGGCTGTAATGAAGAGACTGACATGCTGCAGTTCATTATCCTAAGAATGTCAGACATGATAAGTAAAACGGAGTTATACTAAACAGTAAATTATTTGAAAACATGTTGAGGCATTAAACCTCTAAAACCCCTTAACTTGAAGATACAGGACTTTGTCTAGAATCTCTTCCTTTCTTACAGATTTTCTGCTTAATTCTTTTTGGTGCAATCAGTTTGTAATTCCTCTTAAGATTGCCAGGAACACTATCACAGACATTCATTCTCTTAAAAGTTTCATGTTCTTTCTTGATTGATGTATATTGAAGACCAATGTTTAAATTTAACACTGATGTTTCTGAAGATAATTCTTGCTCAATAATTTAACTTACATTATTGATACAAAAGATGTCTTAAAAGGAACGAAGGAAAAGGAATACAATACATTAAATACAGGCTGCTTTACTGCAGATTTAGGTCAACAGTAACCATATTTAATTGTGACTTAGTGACTGCTATGAGGTGAAGTGTATGTTGCATATCTTGACAGTAGAGAGATGGTATTCTTTTGATAGTCCTTGGGTGAAATAGTATCCTTATCTTCAAATTTTTATATTTTTCTTGCAGAATAATGATTAAGCTTTTGGACTGTGTTTGATCACTTGATGATTTGCCAACTATTCACTATCATAGACATTTATTTAAATGTCTGGAACATATTAACAATCTTTTAATGCTTTTTCATTCATGAATTTACTTAGAACTTTAATTTAAACACAAATCCCAATACCTTTTTGCATTTATTTACTTATTTTCATATATGCACATTCTGTGCAGTTATTGTAGTAGTTTTATATAAGTATGCATGTTAATTTTTATGCAGCTTTTAAGTGATATCCTTTGCTAATCTATCCCTATCCCACAAGTTATCCTTTAGTTTCATGCACTAGTATATGAGTCAGAATTTTCAAAACGATAAATTTAAACATGATTATATGAATTAAAATATATGAATAGTTTGATTGTGAATCAAAATACAGTATAATTCCAATAATCCACTCATCTTGGGATCAAGAGTTGTGTGGATTGAAGAATTTTGCATGTATTTTATATCACAGACATAATTTTATGTATGTATATTCATGTATTTTTGAATTTTGTTTACATTTTCCCAGTTCTAATTTTTACAATAAAATTGCATGATTTGTACATATGTAACTATCAAAACATATTCATACCTAAGAATTACTTAATCTTTTTAGAACGGAAAACTGTTATATTATTTAAATGCAATTATATGCAAGGAAAACCATTGTAGTACAAGTAATAAGTAAATAGAAAATGGGGTAAATGAAATTATATATTTGTGAAGAAATGAACTATTTTCTACTGCCAAAATTAATTTCGGAAAATTTTTTATGCTGTTAAACAAAACAGAAAAATATAAATGTACTTTTTTGTACACACACACACAAACCAAAAAAAAGAAGAAAGAAACCCTGCAGTGTTTTTTTTTTTTTTTTTTTCATTAAATTTAATTCCATTGTTAAATCACCATTATATTCCATGCATAAGTAGTTGGATTAATAACACTTTTCAGAAAGTGCTAGAAATGTTTACAAATTTTGATCCTATAAAAATCTCTACAAATACTATTTATAATGATTTATCCATATTCACTGCTAATATTAGCAGATTTACTCATTCTTGAAAATATAAATAAACCAACTGCAAGATACATTTAAATTAGAACTCAGTGTCTGAAACCTTGTGGAATAGTACTTAATAAATACTTATAACATAAATTCAAAACTAATTTAAAAAGGCTGTGAGATGTATGTTGAAAATGAAGGATTTATCTAAGAAAAAACATGCAGAAATTTACAATAAATGGAAATTACCGATTCAAGCAAATGTTATATGCTAAAAAAAAATATTTTATTATTCTAGTTATTTAGCATTATATGCTAAATAAAAATATTTAGCATATAATGCTAATAACTATAATAATAAATTATTCACTTCTTAATCAAAATATGTTTAAATTATTTTATTAAAAAATTTATTTGCATACATGTAAATGATTCTTCTCTGTTTTTAAATATATATGTAAGTTAAAAATTATGTAAATCAAAATGCTAACTTAAATTTGCAACAGCTCTTAATATTAATTTGGGTCTGCATCATTTCTGGATTAATCCACATCATATGACTTTTATGTTAGTGACATAATGGTTTTGTGAACTAAAACTCAAACAGCCAATAATAATTTTAGAACTTTTTTAATAATTATGCAATCAAAATGTATAAAAAATGAAAATAAATCACTCAAGTAAGATTTCATCCTGAACACAAAACACTGTTCCTGCTCCCCCACTAAGCTAGACTGCTACTTCTGTTCTTACTGCAAAATTATCAAAAATTTTTTGGTTTGGTTGATTTTTTGTATTATGTCAAGGGCTATCTGTCTAAGGTATGTGAGGGTTATTTTCTTTCATGAAAGACTTTTTAAGAGAAACTGGCTGATATCCACGGGGGGAAAATCACACACGGGGAAAATTCACAAAAATACCCACGCAGTTAGCCTGTTCCCCTGGAATCGAGTTATGTTCATTTTAGATGGAAATGAAAATAATATAAACTTGAATTCAACTATAATCTTAAAACGTTTGTAACACCATATTTGCAGCAAATACATAATTGAAATGCATTTGAAAATGTATAAAATTTGCTTTGGGGCCCACATACTTAAACACTCTTCTCTACAAGATATACTGTACTGTAGAAGATGTATCCAGTAGTTAAGTAACTAACAGTAACTGTTGGAATTGGTTGTCATCTTTCTTCGTGCAAGTTTCTAGTGTATTCACAATGTGCCTTGATGCCTTTTTATTTATATATTTTTTTCCAATTTACTGTTGAGTAATTTTTCTGCCTCTGAGTTGTTAACCTTTATTTGGAAAAATATTTAGAATTCCTTTTAGAAAGCGTTTCTTTAAAATAAATAAACAAGAAAAAAATGTGATTGAATTTCTGGTAGCTATAAATGCATCACTGATGATCTAGCCTTATAGAAATATGTATTCTAAAGTAGTGTGCTGATATAGTATGCCATTGTTCTATCATGTTTTAATTAATGGTTATGTTTCAGCTCTTTCAAGAGTATAATGACTTGCATTAAT